AGCATTGCTGGCTGGGGAATTCTGGGAGTTGAAGTCCACGCATCTTAGAGTGGCCAAGGTTGAGAAACACCGGTCTAGGGAGAGGAGTGAGAGCAGAACTAAACAGAAAATGAATTGCATGGGAATTAGGGAATTTGTAAAGAGAGAAGTTGGTTGTGATTTTTTTACTGAGGTTGATGGAAATAAGAGATATAACTTTACATAGGTTTTCTGGATTGTTTCACTTCCTCTCTCCTTTTTTCTGTCAGCTTTATTCTTAGCCATCTGAAACCATTGGAAAGGGAGGGTGTTGTTTTTTAAATGCAGTAAAATTGGAATAATACAGCCGTGCACAGAAAATAGCCCAGTAAAAATCCTTTTCATCAGCCTAGAAAAATGCAGGTACCAATCTCAGACTTTGTCAGATTTGCTTTTGGCAATAAATTCCCAATTTTGCGGGGGGGATTCCCCAGTAGCAGCCACTCATCTCTTACACGATAAAGCAGGGGTTGCGAGGGACATGTTCATGGCTCTTTCCGCCTTGCTGTATCTCGATACATCCGTTTGAGGGTGGATTCAGAAGAATGGTGAACTGAAAGAGGCATTGGAGATATTTCTGAGAAAGTGCACCTTTTATTGAATAGAAAGATAAAATTCCTCCACTGTCATTCCTTGGATTTATTTATTTTTTTTGGTTTCCTTTTTGCAGAGCGTGTCGGATATATTTGAGCAGACTTTCGGGCCGCCCAACGGACTAAAAGATGACAGGTACTTTGCCAGAGCAATCGAGGTCACCTTTTAGTTAACCTTTTCAAAAGCAACATTTAAGATATCTAGTGCTTGGGATTCCCCAAGAAAAAAAAAAAAAGGTATGTCTATAACAATCTTCTAAGGTTGATTGCTAATATTATATATAACCATGGCAAGTCTCATTCTTTTGACAGCCCAGACGGCCCTCTCTAGACCAGTGTTCTCAACCTTGGTAACTTTAAGAGGTGTGGACTTCAACTCCCAGAATTCCCCAGCCAGCATGGGGAATTCTGGGAGTTGAAGTCCATAAGGCTCAAAGTTGCCAAGGTTGAGAGACACTGCTCTAGACCCAGGAGGGAGATATGGCTGGGGAATTCTGGGACTTGAAGTCCACACATCTTAAAGTAGCCAGGTTTGAGAATTCCAGGATTTATAAACAGCCCAAAGAATCTTTAGTGAAAAACACTAAAACTCTAAGGGTGATAGCTGACTATTAGAGGGGGAAAGACAGACCCATTTGACACTCGAAGCAGCGGATCCTTTTTGCGCACCGCGAATGTACGTCCCCACATCACAACGATGATGGAATGCGTTGTTCTTTTTATCTTCAGGGATCTGCAAATTGAAAATCTAAAGAAAGAGATTGAATTGCTTCAGACAGAGCTAGAGAAGATTAAGCTGGAGGTAAGGCTGGGCCTGGGTTTCTGCTCTGTGATTTTGAAGGGGTGCAGACTGTGCTGTTGGGCACCCCTTCCTTCCTCTCTTGTCAAAACAAGTTTTTGGCCCTCGGGATGTGTTCTGAAATCCAGCTCTGAGAGGCCGCAGGAGACAGGCAGACTGTATTTCAGCCGTACATTTTTGATGTATGCAGGCAAAGGAAATAGAAACAGCTCCTTCTTTAGCTTTCTTTTAAAGCAGTGCTTCTCAAGCTTAGCAGCTTTAAGATGTGTGGACTTCAACTCCCAGAATTCCCCAGCCAGCCATGCTGGCTGGGGAAAGTGTTTCTCAAGCTTGGCGGCTTTAAGATGTGTGGACTTCAACTCCCAGAATTCCCCAGCCAGCCATGCTGGCTGGGGAATTCTGGGAGTTGGTCCACACATCTTAAAGCCGCCAAGCTTGAGAAACACTGCTTTAAAGTGAGAAAATATAGTGAGTAGCAGTGTTAGTTGCAAACTAGATGGGGAAGAGAATTTTTTCCCCAGTTAAAATCTGCAATTCAACCGTAGTGGCCCCTTCCTCACTAAACAGTAGCAAAAGCAAAATGCAAGTCAAAAGAGGCTGAGATCTTAAGAAAATAGGAATGTTAGCTGATGGGAGATGGGCGTCACGTACTTCTCGGTCACTAGCACATGCCCTGAGCTGTTGAAGTGCTTCTTTGAAAGATGAAAGTGTAGCTCTTTGGGGGATGATGGCAGAAAGAACCCAGGAGAGACCTAGAATACGACTTTGCTGTGCCCGTAAAAGGGGCGGTCGGTTTATGTCGGCCTGTTTTCTTTATCCAGGCTCAAAGATACATCACTCAGCTGAAGGCTCAGGTGAACAGCTTGGAGGCCGAGGTGGAAGAGCAGAGGAAGCAGAAGCAGAAAGCGATGGTGGACAATGAACAGCTCCGAGATGAACTGGAGAGGCTGCAGAAAGCAAAACTGGAGGGAGATAAGAATCAAGGACTCTATCTGGAAGCGGAAAGTAGGTGGGGGTGCCGGGAGGGGGATCTAGCAGGCACATTGTGTGTTTTGCTCTTAAAAAAAAAAATAGAGGTTAAATCCAGCTTGTCCGGCTGAATCTGGGATGTCCTGTACATGATCCTGCAAGAAGAGGGGTGCTTTCTCACAATGACCTTCCCCCAACACATGTTCCTTCTGTCTCATCTGCATCTTTAAGGCTCTCTGTCTCATCTGCATCTTTAAGCTTAGGAGGTTTTGGGAAGGACCACTTGATTCTGGTCCCTCCCAGGCCATACGTCCTATAATTCTGAGTTTCTCTCCCTCCCTGGCACGCTTGAGGGTTGTGGGAAATCTTGGCCATCCATTTATGGGGAGGAGACGTTCCCCAGCAGGGCTGACTGCTGCATGCAAAGCAGAGCTGTGTAATGAAGAGATGTGTGGGCCCCCTCCTGGCCATTAAGAAGGGTCTTCATTTTACAGAAAGATTAGTCAGATGTCCCAGCAGGGCATTATCAAGGTTGCAGTGCACCACCACCCCCAAGATGGGGCCTTGTTTGATAATCTCGCTCTGCTCAAAATGGCCAAGGAGCTCCAGTGTTGGGTAATAAATCAATCTAGAGACTGTCCCAGCACACAAATGTTCTCAGTTCTTCTGCCATCTGCTGGTTGGTAATTTGGGTCCTCAAGTTTGAGAATTTCTGGTAGCTTATTGCAATGATTGATTGATTAGGTGCCATCAAGTCAGTGTCAGCTTTCAGTGACCACAGAGATAGACTTTCTCCTGGATGATCTGTCCCTAACCTGGTCCTTCACGTCTTTCAATGGTGCCCCCATCACCACTGCACCTGGGTCCATCCCCCTTGCTGCTGGTTGTCCTCTTCTTCTCTTCCTTCCACCTTTCCCATCATTAGCACCTTCTCCTGAGAGCTGGGTCTTCGCATAAGGTGTCTGAAGGAGGATACTTTGAGCCTGGTCCTTTGTGCCTCAAGAGAGACCTCGTTTCTCATTGTTTAATAGGGAGATGAAAGTAATCCATGCCAATGTTCTTCCCTTTCTTAGGAAAAGCCAGCACCACGGAAATCCGCTATGCTAAGCTGAAGGAGAAACACAACGAGTTAATCAACACACATGCAGAGCTCTTGAGAAAGGTAATGGTGCCCGTGTTTGGGGCAGAGTCCTCGTGACCTTGGGTTTTAGGACACCCCTGGTCACAGATTAATGTCTCCACCACTTCAGTCAAGATCCAATGAGGTTGGCTTTCCATGCAGACTGAGACTATGAACCAAGGGTAAACCAGGCTTTGTCTCTTGCTTGGTCACATTCTTTTTTCTTCTGAGTCCTAATTCTTTCCCCCAACTCTGTATCTTTACACCCAGAATGCAGATACCGCCAAGCAGCTGACGGTTACCCAACAGAGCCAGGAAGAGGTTGCGCGGGTCAAGGAACAGCTCGCTTTCCAGATGGAGCAAGTGAAGCGGGAGTCAGAAATGAAGGTAGGCCTCTGTTGGGACCCTTTGGGTCAAATGCTGTCTTCTTTGGACAAGGATGTAGTTCCTTCTCTTTAAAATCTGAATGCAAGACTGGCCTTGAATTGTACTGTTAGTCCTGGGGTGGGATGGCTCCTCTTGGAAATCCCTTAATAGGTCCTGTCTCTTGGGTCTCGTGCAGTTAGAAGATCAGACGCTTCAGGTGGAGCAGGTGAAGAGACAGCTGGAATCCAAAGCAGAAGAATTGACTCAACTTCAGCAGTTGCTCAGCCATTCTAAGCAGGTATATGGCCCAAGTAGGAGATTGTATGATTCTGAGGGGCCTGTTGCTCCAGCCGTGTGTATCGCACCTAGTGAATTTCAAGAGAGCTTTGTACATTTCTTCACCTGTTTATAGTTTTCTATAGTTCAGCAACCATTCAAAGTTACAACAGTGCTGAATAAGGGGTACTTACGACGGGTCCTCATAGTTGCAGCCATCATAGCATCCTCACAGTAACATGATCACAATTTGGGCGCTCGGCAACTGGCTCGCCCTTTGCAACCTTCACTGCTGGCTTCTGAGAAGCAAAGTCAATGGGGAAGCCAGCAGGAGGTCGCAAAGGGCGATCACATGACCGTGGGAAGCTGCAACCGCATGGGATTTGCCTAACGACGGCAACTGGGACTGCCAGAACTGCTGTCATAAGTCATCACGGACACGTGACGTCACGCCTTACAACTGTGTCACTTAGCAACGGAGTTTCCAATCCCAATTAGCATTGGTAAGCAAGAATTACTTGTAATTTGTGGCATCCGCTCTCCCTTTTGGTCATATCTGTTGCAGACCAAGGGCCAGTTTCCGTAAAAGCTCATCCTAAATCTGCATTTGCGAGCCCCTAGTTAGTTTGCACTGAGGATGGAACAAAGGAAAAGCATTCTGCGTGTGTTGTGTGTGTGGCGATGGGGTGGAAATAATGCGACGAAGGGAATGGGATAAAGAGAGGGAGTGAGAACTCCACAAGCAAGGCATCAGCCTGTGGAACTCCTTCCCGCATTATCTGTAGGTTGGTTCGGACCTCAGCAGCCAGCTGGAAGCCCTTCAAGCTGAGAAGGAGGCCCTGAGGAAATCAGTCAACGAGAAGGAATGTGATCTCATCTCAACCAAGGGCCTGATTCAAGAGAAGGAGCTGCTGTTGAGCCAGGAAGCAGAGAAAAGGGCGAAGGAAGTGCAGGAACTCCAGGAGAAGTTGGTAGAAAAGGTACGGAGGAGAAAAGTAGAACCTGGGGAAGCTTCCCTCTGCCATGGGGAGATAAGCAGTTGGGGGAGGGAGAGGGGGAAACCGAGTCAGTCCCAGGACTGGGATGTAAGAAGGGGACCAGCTTGTCCATCTGGTTTTACTTGGACTGGTCATGCCTGTTTTGGGTCCCTCCCACAGAAAAGTCATGAACAGAACCTGCAGCAGAAGCTCCTGGACGACCAGTTCCGAATCTTGCAAGGGACGATAAAGGAGTCCGAAAGCATCATCCAGGATGCTGTCGCCAAGTTGGACGACCCCTTGCATATCCGATGCACCAGTTCCCCAGGTGGGTCCAGAATCCTCGCTGGCGTCTTCTTAAGCCGTTAAAAAAAGAAAGATCAATCAAGAGGTCCCCCTTCCTCACAGATCTAGCCCCCGGCTGCATTTGCGTGAGAAGTCCTGCTTTTCCCCCTCCCAACCCACGTTCTTTGCCCTTATGCCTTCTTTACAGATTACCTGGTCAGCCGCACCCAGGCAGCTCTGGAATCGGTGAATGCCTTGGAGAACGGGCACAAGCATTATCTGGCCAACATGGCAGGTAACACGGGCTGAGTTTCCTCTTGGGTTTGCTTACCTCGAGCGTTGGGAATGGAAGAGTTGCAAAGATTGCAAGCCAGCAAAAAGAGGTCACTGCTCCTCGAATTCAGATGTTTCTTTGGAGTGCTTCTTCCCACTTCCTCAAACTGTGGAGCTCGTCAGTCTGTAGGACACGGCGCACGATGCCGTGTTGCTAAAGCTTCAGGCCAGCTCTAAACTGAGCACCACCAGCCATGAAGTCTGTTGTACAAAGACACCCCATGGAGTTAAGGAACCAAGGATTTAAACGTAAGGTGGACTCCGATCACCTGAGGAAATCCAACATGGAGCCACCAGTAGGTCCAGGTCATAGGGCCAAAGCTGGGAATAGAGTCTTCTCAGTGGCATCACCCCTTATGGAACTCTCTCCCCAGATAGATTCTCACTCTGTCTTCTTCCCAAAAACGGTTTGATGGTGCAGCCATTTGTGGGACAATAAATACTCTAGAACAGGCAGTTTTTTACATTGCCCATGATGCATCACATCCCTTTCTCTGTTTTCTGCTTTAGCTGTAAAATGAACTTGGCTTTCATTTGTGCACCTCCCGATTTAAACATTGCTGGTTGGGTTAAAGCAGGGTTTCTCAACCTTGGCCACTTTAAGAGGTGTGGACTTCAACTCTGAGAAACCCTGCTGTAGAGGAATGGCAACAGAAGGACCACCAAGTTCATAAAAAGCTTGTCCCCAACGTCCTGGAAGGCAACACGCTTTTGCGGTGTTGTGCCTCCACTGCATTCCCCTCTGTTCTCGCTCTTTGCCTCAGACGCCACTGGACTGGTTGCTGCGCTGGCTCAGTTTGCCCACCTCACGGCAGATGCCATCGTGAACGGCAGCGCCACTTCCCATCTGGCACCCACGGATCACGCTGACAGTGAGTACCGCGGCGGAAAAGGCTCCCCCCTGGAGCCGGAGTTGGAAGACGGTTCCATCAATTATAAGCCACTCTGGATAAGATGATATCACTTCCATTTGGGCTCGAGATATTCTACAGAAGAGAAATTGCTCTTTCCCACTGGCTGCAGGGACTAAAGAAAACCTGAGCGGAGACCTAAAAAGCAGGATCTCTATTTCCCCAGGCAGTGAGGCTCACCCAAAACCGGCTCCAGCTTGTCTGTCCAAAAATCTGATTTTTCTTTTTTGAACGATGGTACCGTGCAGTTAGAACTGTAGGTACAGTTTTATGGCCTTACGTTTCGTCTGATTTATCCATGCCAGTCAAGACAAAATGGTTTGGTTCCTATGCCAGCATTGTTAATCAGTGGGTATGGCAGGAGAAAAACAGAATAAACGCAACGAACATGTTCTGACTCTTCTGTTAGAGCTACGCTTACAACACAATCCTTTAGACTTGAGAGTAATGCTTTCAGTGGAACTTACTCCTGGGTGTCAAAATCTGCAAGGTGACAGGCATGGGGTTATGGTCAAAGCCCCACCCCTTTTCTGTGTGCATGCACAGAAGGGGCGGGGTTTAAATCTCAACCTTGTGCAGATTTTGACACACACACACACCCTGGACACCCCTGTAACTTATTCTGGGCCTTTCAATACTCTGCTTCGATTTCCCTCCCTCCCTCCTTTCCTCTCTCTCTTTCTTTTTCTTTTTCATTTAATTACTAAATTGATTTATATGGCCACCCATATTGCCAAGCAACTCTGGGGGCTGAGGGTTAAAAACCCACAATACAAAATAAACAATATAAAAACCCTGAACAGCAAGGATAATACTAGCCATCAATAAATTAACATCCCTCGTGGGGTCGACCAACCTCCCAGCCTCCCTGCCTGGGGAGACCTTCATGTTTTTAAAGCTCTCTGAAATGGCCTCAGGGTCAAGACCAACCAACTCTTTGTTTCTCCCTGGTCCAGAATTGACTGAATCCTGCAGGGACTGTGGGCAACATAGCCTGGACTATCTGAACAAGCTAAAAGACAAACAGTCTCTCCAAGAAGCAGATCCAGCAGACCTGAGGACAGCTCTGCAGAGGCTGTTCCAGCTGGGACAGGTGAAGAGAGAATGGAGGCCCACCAGGAGAAGCGCTCCATGGGGAACGTTGGGTGCAGGCAGCTTGCTTTTCACCGTTAACTAAACTCTGGAGCCATGCTTCATTTAGGCCAGAGTTCTCCTCAGAGGCCTTGATCAACTTTTCTTTTCTTCTTTTGTGGGGTAGGAACTGAGACCCAAAAGTTTAGACGTCCGGGAAGAAGAACTGGGTGACTTGGTTGACAAAGAGATGGCCACCACTTCTGCAGCGGTTGAGGATGCAGTCAGGAGAATAGAGGTGGGGTTAACTTGACTAGTGCTACTGTTTTTCCAGAAAGGAAAACCCTGGTATAGAGGGGTTGGACAAGTTGACTGGGTTTGCCCAAGCTAAGCTCTAACGTGGTTTGTTTAATTTTGGTGTATCATGTTGTGTGAACGCAGCCATTTGCAGGTTCTGATAGTGACATCAGTTCTGACCCATTCTTGGGCTTACCTGCTCTGGGGGAGCATCAATAGGAGGCATGCACACTTACTGATGTGGTGCCAGGATGCATCCTGCCCTCGCAGTGATCCCGCTTGGTCCTTCTTGGGCTGGAGATGAGCTGTTTTGGATCTGTTTGCTGATGGCTGGCCAAACCCACCTGCTGTCTTCCATTTCTCTGCAGGAAATGATGAATCAAGCCAGAGTAGAGAGCTCTGGGGTGAAACTAGAAGTTAATGAAAGGTAAGCTGGTGGACGAATTTGCACAACTAAAAATCCTTTGCATAACTTGGCAGGAGGCTGCACACTGAATCCGAAGCCCCCAGATTCTATCTTAACATCTCTGGTTAAGGCAGATTTGAGGTCACCAGGGCTAGGAAAGACCTTAATGAACCTTCTGGAGAAGATGGGCCCCATCTTCTTTTTCTTGCTATAAAGAAGCACCTTGACTTCTATACTGAATTTTTTTTTTTTTAATCTGCGCTCAGTCGTTACCGACTCTGCAGTGACTGCTTGGAC